TTTGTCTCTCTGTCTTTCTATCTGTCTATCTGATTATCTAACTATCTGACCGACTATCTATCTATCTATCTATCTATCTGAATGTCTGTCTACCTATCTTTCCATCCATCCATCCATCCATCCATCCATCCATCCATCCATCTATCTATCTAGATATCTATATCTCTAATTACCTATCCAAACATCTCTCTATCTATCTCAATATCGATCTCTATAGTTACCTATCCTATCTATCTATCTATCTATCTATCTATCTATCTATCTATCTATCTATCTATCTATCTATCTATCTATCTATGAGAGAGAGAGAGAGAGAGAGATGCATTATTGTTGTTGTTTTTGTTCATTCGTTTAGTCGTTTCTGACTCTTTGTGACTTCATGGACCAGTCCACGCCACAGCTCCCTGTCGGCTGTCACCACCCCCAGCTCCTTCAAGGTCAATCCAGTCACTTCAAGGATGCCATCCATCCATCTTGCCCTTGGTCAGCCCCTCTTCCTTTTTCCTTCCATTTTCCCCAGCATCATTCTCTTCTCCAGGCTTTGCTGTCTCCTCATGATGTGGCCAAAGTACTTCATCTTGGCCTCTAGTCTCCTTCCCTCCAATGAGCAGTCGGACTTTATTTCCTGAAGTATGGACTGGTTGGAGATACATTATATAGAACAGTATACTAAAGGTACCCAATGCCTCTTGCATTTCTGCTTCTGTCCACCAGAGGGAGCAGGAGCCCAAGGCTTGCCTTAATCAACTTAATCAACTACATTGCCATAGGATCAAGTTTCTGAATAATATAATATAATATAATTAATATAATAATATTCAGTTTCTGAATATAAATATAGTTTCTAAAGTATATATAAAATATATAATATAAATAAAATCTAGTTTCTGAATATATCATATAATACATTCTGAATGTAATACAATACAATGTGATACGCAATCCAGCTTCTGAATTATATATAATACATTAATTCCTTTTTTCATTCATTCTTTCCTTTCCTCATTTGTTCATTCTTTCTTTTATATCCCTTCATTCATTCTTTCCCTCCCTTTTTATTAATTCTTTCCTTATTTCTTGTCTTCTTTCTCTCCTCCTTTCCTTCCTTCCTTATTTCATTCTTTCTTTCTTTCTTTTTTTCTTTCTTTCTTTCTTTCTTTCTTTCTTTCTTTCTTTCTTTCTTTCTTTCCTTCCTTCCTTCCATTCATTCTTTTATTATTTCCTTTTTTGCTTTCCTCCTTCTTTCTTTCCTTCTTTCCTTGCTTTCACTCCTTCCTTCCTTCGATTCATTCTTCCATTCTTTTTTCCCTTGTCTTTCCTTTCCTTCTTTCCCTTCCTTCCTTCCATTCATTCTTTCTTTAATTCTTCCTTCCTTCTTGTCTTTTTTCTTTCTTTCCCTACTTCCTTCCTTCCTTCCTTTTTCCTTCATTCTTTCCTTCCTTCCTTCTTTCTTGTCTTTCTTTCATTCATTCATTCTCTTTCCTTCCTTTCCTTTCCACCTTCCATTCATTATTTAATTCTCTTTTTCATTTGTTCCTTTTTCTTGTTTTTCCTTCCTTCCATTAATTCATAGTTTCCTTCCTTTCACTCCTTCCTTCCTTCCTTCTTTCTTGCTTTTTAATAATAATGATAATAATAATAATAATAATAATAACAACAACAACAATAACAATAACTTTATTTATATCCTATCCATCTCCCCAAAGGACTTGGGGTGGCTTACAGAGCAATCCAGTTTGCTGGTTTCTTTCCTTCCTTCCTTCCTTCCTTCCTTCCTTCCTTCCTTCCTTCCTTCCTTCCTTCCTTCCTTCCTTCCTCTTTCATTCATTCATTTCCTTTGTTCCTTTTTTCATTTCTTCCTTCGTTTCATTCATTCTTGCTTTAATTCTTCCTTCTATTCATTCACTCTTTCCTTCCTTCCTGTCTTTTCTTTTTTTTTACTTCCCTCCTTCTTTCATTCCTTTCCTTCCTTCAATTCATTCTTTCATTCATTCATTCCCTTTCCTTTCTTTTCCTCCTTCCATTCATTATTCTCTCTTTCCTTTGTTACTCTTTCTTTTTTTTTTTTTCCTCCCTCCCTCCCTCCCTCCCTCCTTCCTTCCTTCCTTCCTTCCTTCTTTCCTTCCATCCATTAATTCTTTCTTTCCTTCCTTTCTCTCCTTCCTTCCTTCCTTTCTTTCTTGTCTTATAATAAGAAGAAGAAGGAGGAGGAGGAGGAGGAGAAGACAATGACGACTCTGGCACAAGCCAGTCAAGGTGGTCCCAGTGTTGATTGGCACACTGGGTGCAGTGCCTAAGACCTTGGCCTGCACTTAAACACAATCGACGCTGACAATATTACCATCTGCCAGCTGCAGAAGGCCACCTTACTGGGATCTGCACGCATTATTTGCCGATACATCACATAGTCCTAGACACTTGGGAAGTGTCTGACGTGTGATCCAATACAAGAGCCAGCAGACTGATCTTGTCTGCTGTGTACTCACCTTGTTGTGTTTCAAAATAATAATAATAATAATAATAATAATAATAACAACAACAACAATAAGTGTGATCCAATACAACAGCTGGCAGAGTGTCTGCTGTGGACTCATAATAATAATAATAATAATAATAATAATAATAATAATAATAATAAGTGTGATCCAATACAACAGCCAGCAGAGTGTCTGCTGTGTATTCATCTTGTTGTGTTTCTAATAATAATAATAATAATAATAATAATAATAATAATAATAACAACAACAAATTTATTTATATCTCATCCATCTCCCCAAAAGGACTCGGGGTGGCTTACAGAGTTGTTTGCTGGATTTTCATTCATTCATTCATTCATTCATTCATTCATTCATTCTTTCCTTCCTTCCTTCTGGGGCAAACCTGTCATTATTCCCCGGAAGAGCAAGGCCGGCCTTTGAAGTCCCCCCTAAGGATGTTTGGGAGGCCCTTCCTTTCCTATAGGCAGATGTATAGGTTGACAGGCAGGCTTTGCACCCTCCGCAAGGGCATTCCTGGAGGTCTTTGGCTTCCTCCTGGGTAGCAATTTGAGGCCTTTTGGCCCCTTTTGATCGGAGGGCGGATCGGAACCCAGAGCAAATTCCTTTCCGGGGAAGGACCCTCCCCAAAAGCCCCGGGAATGAAGAGAGAGGCCTCTCCTCCCCATAAGGAAGGCTCCATGGCCCCATCTCCAAAACATATAATATAATATAATATAATATAATATAATATAATATAATATAATATAATATAATATAATAAATATAATATAATATAATATAATATAAAATAAACATTGGATCGCTGTGCATCATAGAAAAGGGTAGAAAAGGGTTAAGGGAGAGGCAATGGATGGGGTAATGCAAATTCCACACCAGTGGAGAGAGAAAGGAACACCGAGATGCCTGTGGTGGAGGAAACACATCACACCTAGAATGGAATTGTCCCCGATAATATAATATAAACCACCGATTGCTGTGCATCATAGGAAAAGGTAGGAAAGGGTTAAGGGAGAGGCAGTGGGTGAGTTTATGGAAATTCCACACCAGTGGAAAGAGAAGGGAACACTGGGGTGTCTGTGGTGGAGAAAACACATCAAATCTAGGATGGAATTGTCCCCGATAATATAATATAATATAATATAAACCTCTGATTGCTGTGCATCATAGAAAGGGTTAAGGGAGAGGCAGTGGGCAGGGTAATGCAAATTCCACACCAGTGGAAAGAGAAGGGAACACTGGGGTGTCTGTGGTGGAGAAAACACATCAAATCTAGGATGGAATTGTCCCCGATAATATAATATAATATAATATAAACCTCTGATTGCTGTGCATCATAGGAAAGGGTTAAGGGAGAGACAGTGGGCGGAGTTATGCAAATTCCACACCAGTGGAGAGAGAAAGGAACACTGTGGTGTCTGTGGTGGAGGAAACACATCAAATCTAGGATGGAATTGTCCCCGATAATATAATATATACCTCTGATTGCTGTGCATCATAGGAAAAGGTAGGAAAGGGTTAAGGGTTAAGGGAACTCCACCAAAGATGGCATTAGATCAAACTTGCCACACAGAGCCCGCACAACCAGCCAAAAATACTGGAGGTCTTTGGGGAAAATTCACCTTGATTTGGAGGAGTTGTAGTTCACCTACACCCAGAGAGCACAGTGAACCCAAACAACGATGGATCAGGACCAAAATAAGCACACAGACCTGATATGCTAAAACTTGATTACTGGAGGGCTTTGGAGGAAACTGACCTTCCTTTCTGGGAGTTGTAGTTCACCCACAACCAGAGAACCAGTGACCTCCACCGATGATGGACCTGGACCAAACTTGGCACACAGAATTCCCATTGACTAACTCAACCTACTGGAGGGATTGGAAGGGACTGACTCACCATAGTGGGAGTTGTAGTCTACTCTGCAGCCAGAGAGCACAGCGAACCCCACCAATGATGTATCTACAGGAAAGGTGCCCAACATAACAAACTTTAAGTACTGGTGGAGTTTCGGGGGGATAACCTGGCATGATGGGAGCTGTAGTTCACCCAAGAACATGCAATTTGTACAATTCAAAAACTGGTTTTTCAGATAACTTGAACGGCAGGTATAATATAATGCATAAAGCCTGCAAATCTTTCTAGATGGCATTATTGTCTTTTGCAGAATCCTGTATGGAAAACTGGACAGAGTTGTAGTTCACCCACAAACATGTGAAATATGTACAATTCAAAAACTGGTTTTTCAGATAACCTGAACACCAGGTATAATATAATGCATCAAGTCTGCAAATCTTTCTAGCTGGCATTATTGTCTTTTGCAGAAGCCTGGGAATGTATGGAAAACTGGACGTAAAGGTCTCATTCATGTCGTCTCTGTCCCGTTCTTAACTGTGAGTCGTTAGCAATGTTTGTAACTCGAGGGCAGCCTATACTCTGCAATGTTGGCATTGGTTCAGGTCTTCGTCGCTCCTTCCGAATCCTCCCAACGAAAAGGGTGGCGATTCCAAACCGGAGGCAGGCAATTAGTGTCATGAATTATGGCCAGAAAGAGGATGTTTCCGGCGCGGAGGAGAGCTCCTACCTGGGGGCAGGTGATAAAAAAGGGGGTGGGAATTTGGAAGGATGCACTCCAAGGGATGCTCGGGCATGTCGCTGTCCGTTTACATTCGCCATGTCTCCAGAGCAAGGAGACGCTAACGGGACGTCTGTCTCGCCGGAGAACCGTCCATCGGAAGTGAAGGGAAACAACAAACGACCGGGACGTTCCGAGTCCCGTCGCGCGGCGGCGAATGTCCGCGAGCGCAAGCGGGTTCTGGACTACAACCGGGCGTTCAATGCGCTGCGGGCGGCTCTGCGGCACCAGGCTGGCGGGAAGCGGCTCTCCAAGATCGCTACCTTGCGCCGGGCCATCCGTCACATCGCCGACCTTTCCAGGGCTTTGTGCGCAGAACACCGCCAATCAACTCCGGGGCACAATCCGCACGGTGACGGGCCTCCGGAAGGCGGACAGTACTTTTCGGGACCTTCCTCCCAACGCTGTTATGATGACAACCACGACTACGAAGCCCGGTGCTCATCTTGCGCTGATGGGTGCTCAATGAAGTGTGCAAGTGGCGTGCAAAGCCGGCACACTTTCCTTTGGGAATGCAGGTATTTCTAAATGAGGACGCACCTTCCTGACCGTCCTGATTTGAACCCATGGCCAGCTGCAACAGGATAAAAACATCATCAATGGGACCTTCGTCTCACCGAACTTTCAGGCTTCTGCAAGAGATTAATGCAAGCAAGGACTTGTAGGCTTTTCTGAACTGTCCAGCTCATCACAGATTCTCAGGCCTCTGCTAAGCTAGAAGTGGGGCAAAAACTACTGTTGTCCCATGGAGAGTGAGTGGGCCAAAGCTACTGTTGTCATGAAGAGTATGAGGTAAACCTCTGTGTGAGAGAAACTTCGTGTGAGAAAGCTCTAGTGTGAAGGATACTGCCTGTACGAGCCAGTGGGCCAAAGCTAGTGTTGTCCTGAGGAGAGCAAGTAGGCCGAAGCCTGCTAGTCAGTGGGCCAAAGCTGCTGTCGTCCTGAAGAGTGTGAGGTAAACCTCTGTGTGAGAGAACCCTCATGTGAGAAAGCTCCAGTGTGAAGGCTACTGCCTGTACAAGCCAGTGGGCCAAAGTGAATGTCATCCAGAAGAGAGTGAGCAGGCTGAAGCCTGTTAGAGTCAGTGGGCTAAAACTATTGTCGTCCTGAAGAGTGCGAGGTAAACCTCTGTGTGAGAGAACCCTCATGTGAGAAAGCTCCAGTGTGAAGGCTACTGCCTATACGAACCAGTGGGCCAAAGTGAATGTCGTCCTGAAGAAAGTGAGCAGGCTGAAGCCTGTTAGAGTCAGTGGGCCAAAGCTATTGTCGTCCTGAAGAGTGTGAGGGAAACCTCTGTGTAAGAGAAACTTTGTGCGAAAAAGCTCCAGTGTGAAGACTACTGCCAGCACGAGCCAGTGGGACAAAGCTAATGTCACCCCATGGAGAGTGAGTAGACCAAATCTTGCTAGAGTCAGTGGGCCAAAGCTATTGTCATCCTGAAAAGTGTGAGGTAAACCTCTGTGTGAGAGTACCCTCATGTGATAAAACTCCAGTGTGAAGGCTATTGCCTGTACGAGCCAGTGGGCCAAAGTTAGTTTCGTCCTGAGGAGAGTGAGTAGGCCAAAGCCTGCTAGTGTCAGTGGGCCAAAGCTATTGTCGTCCTGAAGAGTGTGAGATAAACCTCTGTGTGAGAGAACCCTCATGTGATAAACCTCCAGTGCGAAGGCTACTGCCTGTACGAGCCAGTGGGCCAAAGTTAATGTCGTACTGAGGAGAGTGAGTAGGCTGAAGCCTGTTAAGAGTCAGTGAGCCAAAGCGAGAGTTGTCCTGAGGAGAGCAAGTAGGCCAAAGCCTATTAAGAGTCAACGGGCCAAAGCTAGTGTTGTCCTGAGGAGAGTGAGTAGGCCGAAGCCTGTTAAGAGTCAGCGGGCCAAAGCTAGTGTCACCCTGAGAAGAGTGAGTAGGCCGAAGCCTGTTAAGAGTCACTGGGCCAAAGCTAGTGTTATTCTGAGCAGTGTGAGGTAAACCTCTGTGTGAGAGAAGCCTCATTTGAGAAAGCTCCAGTGCAAAGGCTGCTGTGTGTAACGCTACTATGTATTCGTTTATTTGTGTTATGGAAACCTTGTTCTTGTATGTAGTGCAACCATATTATTTTACTACAGAAGGTCCAAAGACTGCAATTTTCTAGGCGTGGAAACAGATTCACAAACTGATAAAAACCCAATGAAACTAGGACAGTGTGCAATGCAAGATGCACAGGAACAAGGGTCAGGAGGAGAATGCAAACAGAGTCGAATCCAGAAGAGTGTCAGGTAAACCTCTGTGTGAGAGAACCCTCATGTGAGTGAGTTTGGAGACTAGAACCAAGCCTGTCCTACCTTGCAGGGTTGTTGTTGTTGTTTCTATAATGGATAGGAAGTCGTGGACCAAAAGATAGATTTTGACTGATTCCAAGACTCTGTGAACATTACAATCCACTTCCTGGAGTTTGCTGGATCCCGGTGTTGCTAATGGAGCGATAATGGCTTCTTCTCTTGTGAGTTTCTAATCACACACACACACACACACACACACACACACACACACACACACACAAATGTATTTCAAGCTGCTTTTTAAAACTAGCTGGTTTGGAATGGTCTTGGCAATGGTGGTTTTATGTTATTATTATTATTATTATTATTATTATTATTATTATTATTACTATTATTTTCTTCAGGGCGACACTCTAAGAGAAAGTGGAATGCCCGTTGTTGTTGTTGTTGTTGTTGTTGTTGTTGTTGTTGTTGTTGTTATCTCACATGAAAGGAGCAGGGCGATGCTCAGAGAAGAGGCCACAAGGTGGCAATGCCATACCAGTTACAAACTCCAGCCAAAAATGATTGGCAATGTAATATGGGATGAAAAGAGACCCATTTAAATCTTATATTCTATTATCTTATATATTATATTATATGTCATATTATATTATATTATATATTATACTATACTATATATTATATTATACTAAATATTATATTATATTATATTATATTATATTATATTATATTATATTATATTATATTATAAAAAGGTAAAGGTTTTCCCCTGGCATTAAATCCAGTCATGTCCGACTCTGGGACTCTGGTGCTCATCTCCATTTCTAAGCCGAAGAGCCGGCATTGTCCGTAGACACCTCCAAGGTTATGTGGCCGGCATGACTGCATGGAGGGCTGTTATCTCCCCGCCAGAGCAGTACTCACATTTGCATGTTTTCGAACTGCTAGGTTGGCAGGAGCTGGGGCTAACTGTGGGAGCTCACCCCGCTCCCTGGATTTAAACCACCTACCTTTCAATCAACAAGTTCAGCAGCTCAGCGGTTTAATGCACTGTACCACCGGGGGCAAGCATATTATAGTAAAAGGTAAAGGTTGTCCCCTGATATTAAGTCCAGTCATGTCTGACTCTGGGACTCTGGTGTTCATCTCCATTTCTAAAGCGAAGAGCCAGAGTTGTCCATAGACACCTCCAAGGTTTTGTGGCCGGCATGACTGCATGGAGGGCTGTTATCTTCCCGCCGGAGCAGTACTCACATTTGCATGTTTTCGAACTGCTAGGTTGGCAGGAGCCGGGGCTAACTGTGGTAGCTCACCCTGCTCCCTGGATTCGAACCACCTACCTTTCAATCAGCAAGTCCAGCAGCTCAGCAGTTTAACGCACTGTGCCACTGGGGACACACATATTATATTATAATACATATTATATTATATTATATTATATTATATTATATTATATTATATTATATTATATTATATTATACTACTAGCCATCCCCTGCTACGCATTGCTGTGGCTTAGTCTGTGCATATGTGTTTTGTGTGTATACATGCGTGTGTATGTGTGTGTGTGTGTGTGTGTGTGTGATATATATATATATATATATATATATATATATATATATATATGGTTTTGTGCATGCGTTGTAATGTAATTTGTTTTTTGGCTTTTTAAGTCTCTTCTGCTGTTTTTTTTTTAGTGTTTTTATGAGTGATGGTCACTTGTTGGCCTGATAGGTATATTTTGTCCAAATTTGGTGTCAATTTATCCAGTGGTTTTTGAGTTATGTTAATCCCACAAATGAACATTACATTGTATTGTCGAAGGCTTTCATGGCCGGGATCACTGGGTTGTTGTAGGTTTTTCCGGGCTATATGGCCATGTTCTGGAGGCAATTTTTCTCCTGACGTTTCGCCTGCATCTATGGCAAGCATCCTCAGAGGTAGTGAGGTACCTCTGAGGATGCTTGCCATAGATGCAGGCAAAACGTCAGGAGAGAATGCCTCCAGAACATGGCCATATAGCCCGAAAAAACCTACAACAACCCAAATATTACGTTTTTATTTATGTAGAAGATATATTATACTATACTACATATTATATTACATTATATTATACTATACAGTGTATTATATCGTATTATATTATACTATACAATATATATATATATATATATATATAGATTATTTATACATTTGTCCAACAAAATGTATAAGCATGCATTCTTCTCTCTTTTTACAATATCTTAGACAAAAGAGTATATCATATTATATACAATCTAGCAGTAAAAAAACATCAAAAACATCTTTAATAACATTTCTTATCATTATTTTTAAAATTATTTTACAACTTATACTACATATAACTCTATCACACACCTTTTATCCACTTATACATATTGTATTTCTTTATAATTATTATTATACCACTTTTTCCCCTCTTCCCCTTAGTTTGTTATATTGATACTATATTATGTTATATTATATTATATTATACTACATATTATATTATATTACATTATAGTATCAATAATACTAATCATTGCAATTATAATAATAGGAATAACAGCAATAGCAAGCATAGTAGCAATAATAATATAAATAATAACACTAATAGCAATAATAATAATAATAATCCTTCCTGGAAAGCGAAGGACAATTTGGGGGAAATATCCTCCCAGAATATCCCAAAACCCAATCCATCCCCTCCAAAGGGGTTGCACGAGACCCAAATAACCCCCCGAAAGACTTTGTGGGGATTTATTTCCATTTTTGGCACGGCTTCCTTTGGAAAGGGAGGGTCCCAATAAGTGTGAAAAAACCAATGATAGAGGCAACATTAAAAAAAGGATGCATAATTAATGGACTTCTGCTGGGAGGCAGGAGGGCGAGGCTATCTCTCTATCCATCCATCCATCCATTCAAAGGGCTCCTCCTCCTCCTTTGGATAGGGCTGCTCAGGTTGGCAAAAGCCTTATTTGGAGAGGAAAGGGAAGGAGGAGAAGGAGAGGAGAAGGGAAGAAAAGGAGAAAAAGAGAAGGAGAGGGAAGGAAGGAGAAGGAAAGGAAGAGAAGAGAAGAAAAGGAGGTAAGGAAGGAAGGAGGGAGAGAAGGAGAAAAGAGAGAAAGGGAGAAGGAAAAGAGAAGAAAGGGGGGAGAAGGAAAAGGAGAAGGAGACAAAACAAAAGGGACCCCAAAAGAGAGTAAGAGAGGGAGAGAAAGGGAAGGAGAAAGAGAAGGAAAAGGAAAGGAAAGAGAGGCAGAGAGGATCCTTCAAGGGGAAAATCAGGCACTTAAGGAGAGAAAGAAGGAGGAGGGAAAAGAAAAGGAGATAAGGAGAAAAGGAAGAGGAGAAAGTGAGTGAGAGAAGAAGGAAAGGAGAAGAGAGGAGGAAGAAAGGAAAGGGAGAGAAAGAAGGAAAAGGAGAGAAGGAAAAGAAAAGGGGAAGAGGAAGAAAAAGTGAAGGAGAGGAGAAGGAAATAAGAGAAAGAAAAGGAAGGAAAAGATAAAGGAGAAGGAGAAAAAGAGGAGAAAAAAGGAGAGAAAAGGAGAGAAAGAGGAAAAGGAGAAGGAGGAGAGAAGAAAGGAAAAGGGAGGTGAGTAGAGAAAGAATGTAAAATGAGAGACATGAAAACTATGTGGGAAACGGAGTTACAAATCTTGGAATGAGAAATGAGAAATGAGTAAGTAGATGGGAGGGATTTGGGGATGGAAACAATACTAAAAATGATTGAGAAGTGTGATCAGAATGGAGGATATACTAATGCAAGTGAGACATATCGACCGAATGCTATGAAGATTTTCAATTATAAATCTGAAGAACAGAGAGGAGAAGAGCCTTCAAGGAGGAGATGGGCATCTGAAGGGCCATGGCTCTGGATCCCGAGAAGGCACCTCCGGAGGTTCCAGGCGAGAGGGAGAAGCTGCTGGAGCCCTTGGCCCCCAAATCCCCTTTGGAGGAGGCTCCGGGGGTCTCTAGCGAGGCGGAGAAGAACGGCGACGCCTTGAAGGAGCCCCTGAGTTTGGGGGTGGCCCCTTTCCCTCCCCACGGGGGGCCCCCTTCCCGCCCCAAGGACTACCTCTGCCTCGCCATCTTCGCCTGCTTCTGCCCCATCTGGCCCATCAACGCCGTCGCCTTGGTCTTCTCCATCATGGTAAGGCATAGCCAGGCGTGCGCTTTTGGAGAGCCCTAGGGGGACCCACTTCCCGGCCCTCCCCACAAAAAGTGGGGCGCCCTAGAATAAAGTTAAGGGGCTCCTCAAACTCCCCAAAGGACCAACTTTTGGATCCACTTTGAATTTTGTTTGGGGTGGTTTCCATAGCGACAGGGGAAGGATGCCAAAAATGGGGTTCCCTTACTAGGCTCAGTCCCCGTGCGTATTTGGAGAGCCCTAGGGGGACGCACTTCTTCACCCTCCCCACAAAAAAATGGGGCGTCCTGGAACGAAGTTAAGGGGCTTCTCAGACTCCCAAAAGGACCACTTTTCGGACCCCCTTTTAATTTTGTTTGGGGCGGTTTCGATAGCGACGGAGGAAGGATCCCAAAAACTGGGTTCCCTTTCTTTGCGTAAAAAGGCAGGCTCAGACACCGTGCGCTTTTGGAAAACCCTGGGGGGTCGCACTTCCTTGCTCTCCCCACAAAAAGTGGGGCATCCTGGGACGAAGTTAAGGGGCTCCTCAGACTCCCCAAAGGACCACTTTTCGGACCCACTTTGAATTTTGTTTGGGGCGGTTTCCATAGCGACGGGGGAGGGCTCCCAAAATGGGGGTTCCCTTTCCAAACCGCGCGGTGCTTTAAGGAATGGAAAGCCATGCGTAACTGCACTTTTGGAGAGGCCTAGGGGGACCCACTTCCCTGCCCTCCCCACAAAAAGTGGGGCGCCCTAGGATAAAGTTAAGGGGCTCCTCAGACTCTACAAAGGACCACCTTTCGGACCCACTAGGAATATTGTTTGGGGAGGTTCCCACGGCGACGGGGGAGGGTTCCAAAAACGGGGTTCTGGATGGATGCAGCCAGGAAAGGAAAGGAAGTTGGGCGAGAAAGAGCTTGGTCTCCAAAGTGCACAATGTTGGGAAAGTTGGGCCAAAAGGAGGGGGTGAATGGGATGAAAAGAGACCCATTTCAATCCAATATAATATAGTATAATATAATAATTATTATATATTATATTATATTATATATATTTTACTATTCAATGTATTGTATTATATTCTACTATACTATTATACTGCGGAGTCCCTGATGACGCAGAGGGTTAAACTGCTGAGCTGCTGAACTTGCTGATTGAAAGGTCGCAGGTTCAAATCAGGGGAGTGGGGTGAGCTCCCACTGTCAGCCCCAGCTCCTGCCAACCTATCAGTTTGAAAACATGCAAATGTGAATAGATCAATAGGTACTGCTCTGGCGGGAAGGTAATGGCGCTCCTTGCAGTCATGCTGGCCACATGACCTTGGAGGTGTCTATGGACAACGCCGGCTCTTCGGCTTAGAAATGGAGATGAGCACCAACCCCCAGAGTCGGACACGAATGGACTTAATGTCAGGGGAAAACCTTTACCTTTACTATACTATTATACTATATATTATATTATATTATATCATATCATATTATACTACACATTGTATTATATTATATTATATTATACTATTATACTATATATCATATTATACTACATACTATTGTATTGTATGATATTATACTATACTATTATACTATATATTCTATTATATCATATTATACTACACATTGTATTGTATGATATTATACTATATATTCTATTATATCGTATTATACTATACATTGTATTGTATTATATTATGCTATACTATTATACTATATATTATATTATATCATATTATACTACATATTGTATTGTATTGTACTATATTATACTATATTATTATACTATATATTCTATTATATTATATCATACTATACTATACATTGCATTGTACTATATTACACTATACTATTATACTAAATATTCTATTATACTATATATTTTATTATACTATATATTCTATTATATCATATTATACTACACATTGTATTGTATTACAATATATACTATTATACTATATATTCTATTATATTATACTACACATTGTATTATATTATATTATATGGCGCAGAGGGTTAAACTGCTGAGCTGCTGAACTTGCTGATTGAATTCGCAGGTTCAAATCAGGGGAGCACGGGGAGCTCCCACTGTCAGCCCCAGCTTCTGGCAACCTAATGTATAATAATATATATATAGTATAATATTATATTATACTATTCTATTATACTATATATTACATTATATTACATTACATTATACTATACAGTATATTGTATTATATATATTATACTATATTACATTATACTATACAGTATATTGTATTGTATTGCACGACATTACATTAGGAAAAGTGTATGGGGAAAGCTCACCACGGCAGCCAAAGTGGGGCCACACAGTGTCAGTCCTACAGTGCAGATGCACCAAATTCATCACTTTCTTTGTAAGGTTTGCAGATGTTTTGGTCATTTGGAGATTTGGGTTGGACATGGCTTGTGTCTTTCAGGAAATAAAGCAATCCTGGCAGAGGCCAGGAGGGATCTTTCTCTTTCTGCTCGATAAGCAAACCATTCGTTGGCCATGAAAAAGGTGTTTGTTTGGAGCGGCCCAAGGAAAGAAAAAAAAAAACCTGGCCAGCTCTCCATCTCTTTAAGTGCTTTCCTCCTTTGGTTTCGGCCCCAGAAGGGAAAACATTGGCAGGAGAAGGTGCTTTTAGGGGAAGATGGGTGGGAGGAAAAAACCCAGTCCTCTGAGCATGCGCAGAGTGCATCTCCACCCACAGCAAACACAGCCTTATCGTTTTAACAGTGTGAAATGGTTGGATGTGACTGGCGTCCTCATTGACTGGGTCTCATTCTCTTGTAACATGGTCCTTAGGTTTTAAATTGGGTGAGCCACTTGGATAACAACAACAACAACAATAATAGAGAGTCTGCTATGGCCAAGTGGTGAGCTACTTGTATTCTCATTTAAGAGAGGAGAGCTTACTACTACGAAATAATAATCATAGAATCAAAGAGTTGGAAGAGACCTCATGGGCCATCCAGTCCAACCCCCTAATAATAATAATAATAATAATAATAATAATAATAATAATAATAATACATCACACAGTCCTAGATGCTTGGGAAGTGTTTGTGATAAGAAATCCAGCATGTAGATCTCATTTGCTGTGACATACTGTGTTTTGTGTCATAATAATAATAATAATAATAATAATAATAATAATAATAATAATAATAATATCACAGTCTTAGACGCTTGGGAAGTGTTCAACTTGTGATTTTGTGATACAAAATCCAGCATATAGATCTAATTTTTGTGTCAATAATAATAATAATAATAATAATAATAATAATAATAATAATTTTTTGTCGTGTCAGGAGCGACTTGAGAAACTGGAAGTTGCTTCTGGTGTGAGGGAATTGGCCGTCTGCAAGGACGTTGCCCAGGGGACGCCCGGATGATTTGATGTTTTTATCATCCTTGTGGGAGGCTTCTCTCATGTCCCCGCATGAGGAGCTGGAGCTGATAGAGGGAGTTCATCCGCCTCTCCCCGGATTTGAACCTGCGACCTGTCGGTCTTCAGTCCTGCCGGCACAGGGGTTTAACCCACTGCATCACCGGGGGCTCCATAATAATAATAATAATAATAATAATAATAATAATAATAATAAGAAGAAGAAGAAGAAGAAGAAGAAGAAGACGACGACGACTCTGGCACAAGCCAGTAAAGGTGGTCCCAGGGGTGATCGGCACACTGGGTGCAGTGCCTAAAGACCTTGGTCTGCACTTAAAAACAACCAGTGCTGACAAAATCACCACCTGTCTGTGGCAAAAGGCCACCCTACCGGGATCTGCACACATTATTTGCCGATACATCACACAGTCCTAGACACTTGGGAAGGGTCCGACGTGTGATCCAATACAACAGCCAGCAGAGTGTCTGCTGTGGACTCATCTTGTTGTATATCTAATAATAATAATAATAATAATAATAATAATAATAATAATAATAATAATACCCTGCTATGGAGAAGCAGTGAGCCACTTGGACTCCATTTATGAGAGGAGAGCCTAATAATAATAGCAATAATAATATGTAATAATAATACTAACAACAACAGCATCAACAAAAACAAAAGTGGGGCCTGTCATGGTGATGTGATGAGCCACTTGGACTGCATTTAAGAGAGGCGAGCCTAATAATAATAATAATAATAATACATAATAATAATAATACTACTACTAATAATAATGGCCTGTTGTGGCAAAGCGGTGAGCCACTTGAATCCCCATTTAAGAGAAGCGAGCCTAATAATAATAGCAATAACAATATGTAGTAGTAATAATAATAACAACGGTGGGGCCTGTCATGGTGATGCAGAGAGCCACTAGGACTTCATTTAAAAGAGGCGAGCCTAATAATAATAATAATAATAATAATGGTCTGTCATGGTGAAGCGTTGAGCCACTTGAATCCCCATTTAAGAGAGAAGAGCCTAATAATAATAGTAATAATCTTCATCTATGGGGCCAAAGTGGTGCAGTGAGTTAAACTTCTCAGCTGTAGAACTTGCTGACCGGAAGGTCAGTGGTTTGAATTGTGGACGGGGTGAGCTCCCGCTGTTAGCCCTAGCTCCTGCCAACCTAGCAGTTCAAAAACATGCAAATGTGAGTAGATCAATAGGTACTGCTCTGGTGGGAAGGTAACGGTCCAGCATAGTGGTCATATTTGTTGTGTTCTAATCTTGTAATAAGGAAGCGCCTGTTTTGTGTTTGGTGCCAGTCCAGGAACAGCGGGCAGCAGGGAGACCTGGACGGCGCACGGCGCCTGGGACGAGTGGCCCGCTTCCTCAGCCTCCTCTCCATCCTCCTGGGCTCCGTCATTATCCTCACCTGTTCCCTCAACTTCGCAGGTAAGAAACCCAGGGAGGGTCAGCAGGCGGAAAGGGAACCCCAAGGGCCATCTAGTCCAGCCCCATGACTGTCACAAAAGGACAATTATGGACCATCCAACGGGGTCTATAATTGACATCACTTGGAATAGGCATCCCAAAGGCTATCCAGTCCCACCCCTTTGCCACTCAGGAACAGGCTAAACTAAAGCAGGCCGTAATTGGTGATGCTTGGAAGGGGTCCCCAAAGGGCATCTAGTCCAACCCCTTTGCCATACAGCCTTCTTGGAAGATGGCCACTCGACCTCTGTTTCAAGACATCCAGAAAAGGAGGCCCCACCTCCATCTAAAGTGGTTCATAATCCACAAAAGTTGGAAAGGGGTCTCCAAGGGTCATCTAGTCCCACCCCATTTGAAAACAGGCTAAACAAAAGCAGTCAATAATTGATGACATGGGAAGGGGGTCCCCAAAGGCCATCTAGTCCAACCCCTTTGCCATTCAGGGAGAGGCTAAATGAAACCAGCCCATTGGAAGAGGGTCCCCAAAGGCCATCTAGTCCAAGCATCTAGAGAAAGAGAGGTGGATAGATATGGATGGAGAGAGAGAAATACAGAGATGAATATAGATGGTTAGAGAAAGAAGGATGGATAGATAGATATAGAGATGGGTGGATGGAGGGAAAGATAAATAGAGATAGTGAAAGAGGGATAGATAGATAGATGATAGATATAAATACAGAGATGGATAGAGAAAGAGAGGGATGGATGGATAGACATGAATGGAGAGAGAGAAATACAGAGGTGAATAGATAGATAGATGGAGAAAGATGGAGGGAGGGAGAAATACAAAGATGGGGAGATAGATGGATGTAGAAAGGGATGGAGAGAGAGATATATAGACGGAGGGATGGATGGAGATAAATACAGAGATGGATAGAGAAAGGGATGGACAGATGGAGATAAATACAGAGATGGATAGAGGGAGCAATTAATAGATGGAGAGAAAAATACAGATGGATGGATGAAGAGAGATAAATAGAAAGGGAAGGATGATGGAGAGATACAGAGATGGATGGAGAGAGAAATACAAAGATGGAGAGATAGGTGGATAGAGAAAGGGATGGAGAGAGAGGGATGGCTGGATGGAGATCGCGATAAATACAGAGATGAACAGATGGATAGATGGAGAGAGTGATGGATAGAGAGAATGATTGATAGATGGAGAAAGAGGGATCAATAAAATGCACTGCCATAGGAAGGAGAACTGTGGACCCAATAATAATAATAATAATAATAATAATAATAATAATAATAATATCAAACTGCTAAGACTCTGGCACAAGCCAGTCCAGGTGGTCCCAGTGGTGATCGGCACACTGGGTGCAGCGCCTCAAGACCTTGGCCTGCACTTAAACACAATCGGCGCCAACAAAATTACCATCTGCCAACTGCAGAAGGCCACCTTACTGGGATCTGCACACAGTCCTAGACACTTTGGAACTATCCGACGTGTGATCCAATACAACAGCCAGCAGAATATTTTTGTCTGCTGTGGACTCATCAAATAATAATAATAAATATATAATAATAAAATAACAACAACTCTATCTTCTTGCATAACATATTGGGGATGGACTGAATGATCCCTCCAAACTCTAGGAGTCTAATAGTAGTAGTAGTAGTAGTAGTAGTAGTAGTAGTAATAATAAATACAGTCTTAGACACTTGGGAAGTGTCTGACGTGTGATCCAATACAACAGCCAGCAGAGTGAACTTGTCAGCTGTGGACTCATCTTGTTGTCTTTCAAATATTAATAATAATAATAATTATTATTATTATTATTCAAGATATCCAGAAAAGGAAGGTCCACCTCCATCCAAAACAGTCCATCATCCACTATGAAAGGGGGTCTACAAGGGCCATCTAGTCCAAGCCCCATTCATCCATGCAAGGAGACACAAGGGAAGCGCTCCTGAAAGATGACCACCCAGCTTGTTTGAGGGCTAATCAATCTCCCTTTGAAGTAGGCCTAGAGTTGGAAGGGGCCCTCCAAAGGCCATCTAGTCCAGCCCCATCCTGTATGACTACAAGCAAACCTATATTCCTTGAATTGTGAATAATAATATCCTCGCCAAAAGGGAAATGGTGACAAGCGTGTGTTGGAAAGGGACCCATTCTGTGTTTCTTCCTCTACTCCCAACAGGTCTCCTGAAGGCCAACTGAAGCGGAAGGAAGGCCAAGAAGATGGCCTGCAACGCATGGGACAAAGGCAACGAGACCCTTGGATTTCCTAAAGATGGACAAATGGACGAACAGATGGAGATGGAGGGCTTTCTCATTTATTGCAGACTCCTTTTCCTTTCTGCAGAACAGGAGGCAAATGCCTCTTTCTTTCCACACGAGGCCCACCCACCAGGCAACGTCCAGCTCTGTAGCAACCTTGCAAAACGTTTTGTATTCCCAACGAACCTTGTCGCAGAAAACTATGCATGGTTGAATGAATAAAATCCCCCCAAAATAGGCCCATCTTTGGGTTAATTCTGCATGGAGGAGGTTGACGTTGGAAGTATGGAGGATTCTGCATGGAGGAGGCTGACGTTGGTTGACATTATATTATTATTATTGGGGATGAAATATATGTATTTGGGTTTACATGCACGACTCCTACACCCTGCAAGAAATGTGCCCTTAATGCTCCATCCCCCTTCATGGACTTCTTTTTTTTCTCAATGGGAAATGGTTTCTTTCCCTGGATGGGCCACCAAGAGACGTTGTGTTGACAAAAGACCCGCTCCCGGCGGAATTGGAAATCATGAGCTCGATGTGGGTTCTTTCCTTATGGGGAAGAGCAAGGAGATGGACGGCTATTTGGTTTGGTTTTTCAAGCATCGCCCTTTTATGTAACCCCCATTTTCCTCCTACTTCAGGGGCCCACATTTTGGCTGTCACTCAATCCTTGTATCTTCTTCTTCTTCCTGCAAGAACCCGTTTCCCCTCCATTTATATTTCTTGGCATGAAGGACATTAAAACAAATACTCGAAACCACACCAAATACCATGCATGGTGAACATGACAATGTTGTGCTTCTGGTTTGTCCAAAGGCTGAGAGAGTGTGACTATGCCCAAGGCAGAGGGAGGGAGGAAAGGAGGGAGGGAAGGAAGTAAGAAAGGAGGGAAAGGGGGAGAGAAGGATGGAGAGAGGAAGAGAAGGAAGAAGGAGGGAGAGAAGGGAGGAAGGCAAGGAGGAGGGGGGGGAGGAAGGGAGGGAAGGAAGGAAGGAAGGAAGGAAGGAGGGAGGGAGAGGAAAGAAAGAAGGAAGGAAAGAAAAAAGGAAAGAAAGAGGAAGGAAAGAAGGGAGGAAGGGAAGAAGGAAGGAAAGAAGGCAGGAAAGAAGGAAAGAAAGAAGGAAGGAAAAAAGGAAGGGAAGAAGGAAAGAAGGAAGGCAGGAAGGAAGGGAAGAAGGAACAAGGAAAGAAAGAAGGAAGGAAAGAAAAAAGGAAAGAAAGAGGAAGGAAAGAAGGGAGGAAGGAAGGAAGGAAGGAAGGAAGGAAGGAAGGAGGGGAAGGAAGGAAGGAAGGAAGAAGGAAGGAAGGAAGGAAGGAAGGAAGGAAGGAGGGAAGGAAGGAGGGAAGGAAGGAGGGAAGGAAGGAAGGAAGGAAGGAAGGAAGGAAGGAAGGAAGGAAGGAAGAAGGAAGGAAGGAGGGAAGAGAGAGAAGAAAAAAGGAAGAGAAGGAAGGAGGAAGGAAAGGAAGAAGGAGGGAAGGAGAGAAGGAAGGAAGGAAAAAAGGAGGGAGGGAAGGGAGGGAAGAAGGAAGGAAAGAAGGAAGGGAAGAAGGAAGGAAGGAAGGAATGAGAGGAAGGAAGGAAGGAAGAGAGGAGAGAAAGGAAGGAAGGAAGGAGGGAGGGAGGGAGGGAGGGAGGGAGGAGGGAGAGAAGAAGGAAGGAAGGGAGGGAAGGAAGGGGGGAGGGGGGGAAGGAAGGCGGGAGGGAGGAAAGCATGCCTTGCTTCTGCGTCTCCACTTTGAATTCTATCTGTCCTCCACTCATCCTTCATGTTTGTATGGATTTAGCTATATCATCTATTTATACACCCAGACCAAGAAAGAGATCTATTGATGCATCCATCCATGGAGATAGGTCCCACCCCCCCCTCCCTATCTATCAATCTCCCCATCCTTCTCTTTATTGATCTCTCTCCATCCATCCATCCCTCTCTATCTCCCTATTCATTTCTCTCAATCCATCCCTCTCTATCTCTCCATCCATCCATTTCTGTATCTTTCTATCCCTCTCATCCATCCCATCTATGCACCGATCTTACCAACCTAACTAGCTAACCTGACCATCTCATCCATCCAGATCTATTTACTTCCCTCCCTACAGCTATCTATCATCTATCTACGCATCCACCATTCATGTAGAGCAGTGGTTCTCAACCTGTGGGCCCTGAGATGTTTTGGCCTTCAGCTCCCAGAAATCCTAACTGGCTGGGATTTCTGGGAGTTGTAGGTCAAAATACCTGGAGACCCACAGACGGAGAACTACTGATAGAGCTATCCTTCAATCATCTATCCATCAAGATAAACAGATGTTTACATATCTATGCATCTATCTATCCATGGAGATCGCTCTATTTTCTAATTTAATTTAACCTATCTGTCCATTGAGGTAAGTAGAAAGGTAGATTTATCTATCCATCTATATCTATCTATCCATCTATATCATCTATCTAGTCATTCCTATCTAGCTGATTGATAGATATAGGAACAACTAGATAAATGATATAGATGGTTCTATTGTCATCCGTCCATCCAAATGTCTATTCACCCATTCATGAATATCATGTATTCCTCCATTGATCTAGATCTATCCATCTATCTCCATCAGATGATACAGATGGGTGTCTCCATCCATCTATCTATCTATCTATCTATCTATCTATCTATCTATCTATCTATCTATCCATCCATCCATCCATTTATCTATCCATCCATCCATGTCTATGTCTATCCATCCATCCATCTCTCTCTCTCCAGTCATCCATCTACACATGCAGATCCATCCATCCAATTTATATATCCATCTATCCAATCTCTCTCTCTCATCTTTCTATTCATCCATCCATCTAGATGTATCCATCATCTCTAGCTATCTATCCATCCCTATCTATCTCTCTAATAATCCATCCATACATATAAATCTGTCCATCCGTATCATTTATCTATCCATCCACCCAATATCTCTCTCATCTTTCTATTCATTCCTCTATCTAGATGTATCCATCCATCTCTATCACATGTAGATTCATCCATCCATCCAATATCTCTCTCATCTTTCTATTCATTCATCCAGATCTATTGATCTATCCATTTATCCATCCATCCAACTCTATCTCTAGTCATCCATCCACACATGTGGATCCATCTATCTATATCAATTATATATCCCTCTCATCTTTCTATCCATTCATATCTATCTATCTATCTATCTATCTATCTATCTATCTATCTATCTATCTATCTATCTATCTATCTCCATCTATATAATTTATTTATCCATCCATCCAATATCTCTCATCTTTCTATTCATTCATCCAGATAGATCTATCTATCTATCTATCTATCTATCTATCTATCTATCTATCTATCCATCCATCCATCCACCCATCCACCCACCCACCCACCCACCCACCCATCCAAATCTATCTCTAGTCATCCATCCACACATGTAGAGCTATCTGTCCATCCATATAATTAATCTATCTATCCATTCATTCAATCTTTCTCTCTCTCTCTCTCTCCATCCATCCATCCATTCATGTATCTACCTCTCTATCCATTCCTTGGGGAGAAGCGGGTAAGAAATAAAAAGTATGATGACTACTGTTGCCATTATTATTATTATTATTATTATTATTATTATTATTATTATATCAACCATGGCCCCCATCTGTGGAGATGGATCTATCCAGAGACATTCTGATCCAAGCCATTCCCTTAGTCATCGATGTGGATGCACATTGATATTCTGGAGCCTGCATTTCCGCTCTCCCAGCAAACGCGGCAGAGACACCAAGCCATTTCTGAGATTAAATAAATGCATTTTCTTTTTATTATTTCGGAAGAAGTGCCTGTTATTTCGCCAGCTCCGCCAAGCTTTCGGAGTCCAAGAAGAAATTGAATGTTACCTCCTTTTTCCGGGATGATGGTGGTGATAAGAAACCCTCCTGGAATGCCACCCAAAAGGGCCAGAAGATCGGAGAAACCCGCATTCCTTTCTGTTTCCCCCACCAAAAACGAAATGAAGTAAATGGGGTGCCTTTGCCAAAATAGGGACCCTCCTTCTCCCCGTTCAACCCTACGTACTGCTTTGGTTTCCTGCCATTTTTTTTGGTTGGGCGACGGTTTTAAGCTCTGGTTCCCCTCCCCATACAACGCCCCAATCCCTTTCCTCTGCTATTCTTCTCATCTCTTCCTCCCCATCAGCTCTCTCCTGGCCCACCAAATATTGAATGAGATTGGAGAAATATTTGAAGGAGACAGATATAGAGATATAGAGAGAGCTTTCTGACTCCAGTTGGAGGTCAGAGAAATGGGGGGTGGAGATCTTGAGATAGAGCTCCAGTTGGGGATGGAAGCAACATGGACAGGAAGAGACTGATAGATAGATAGATAGATAGATAGATAGATAGATAGATAGATAGATAGACAGACAGACAGACAGACAGACAGATAGATAGACAGACAGATGGAAGGACAGATAAGACAGAAAGAGAAACATTGGACAGGAAGAGATAGAGAGAGACAGAGATAAGAGAGACAGACAAAAACATTGGATAGGAAGATAAGAATGGATGGATGGATGGATGATAAAAGAGAGAGAGAAACATTGGACAGAAACAGATAGAAAGAGAAATTATGAGAGATAGAGAGAATAATCCAATTGGAGAAACATTGGACAGGAAGATATGGATGGATGGATGGATAGATAGATAGATAGTTGATAAGAGAGAAAGAGAAATACTGGAGAGGAAGAGATGGGCAAAATAGATGATAAGAGAGATACACATTGGACAGGAAGAGATGAATGGATGCGTAGAAAGATAGATAAGAGAGAGAGATAGAGAAACATTGAACAGGGATAGATAGAAAGAGAAATAATAAGATAGATAGGTAGATAGATAAGATAGATAGTAAATAGACAGACAATAGGGAGGGCCATCCAGTTGGAGTTTGCAGAAACGTTAGACAGGAAGAGATGAATGGATAGATAGATAGATCGATAGATAGATAGATAGATAGATAGATAGATAAGAGAGACAGAGAAACTTTGGACAGAAAGAATAGATGGAACGAGAAATGAGGGTGGGGAGGAGAAAGAGATGTCAAGTTGAGAGACTGGAGAAACACTGGAGATGAAGAGATGGATGGATAGATGGATAGATATATGATAAGAGACACAGATAGAGAAACACTGGAGAGAAAGAGATGAATAGATGGATGGATAAGATAGATAGAGAAACAGATCGAGAAACATTGGACAGGAAGAGATAGAAAGAGAAGTGATGAGTGAGAGTCAACCAGTTGGAGACTGGATAAACACCGGACAGGAAGAGACAGATGGATGGATGGATGGATGGATAGATGGTAAGAGAGATAGACAGAAAAACACTAGGATGGGTACAATAGAAATAGATAGATAGATAGATAGATAGATAGATAGATAGATAGACAGACAGACAGACAGACAGACAGACAGACAGACAGACAGACAGACAGACAGACAGATAGATAGATAGATAGATAGATAGATAGATAGACAAACAGACAAGAGAGACAAATAAACACTGGACAGGAAGAGAGAGATAGAAAGAAAAAAATAGAGAGAGATCTATCCAGTTGGAGACTGGAGAAACACTGGACAGGAAGAGATGAATGGATAGATGGATAGAAAGATAGATAGACGGATAAACATTGGACAGGAAGAGATGGATGAACAGATAGATAAGATAGAGAAGAGATAGGTATCCATTCAGTTGGAGACTGAAGGAACATTAGATAGAAAGAGAGAGAGAGAGAGAGAGAGAGAGAGAGAGAGAGAGAGAGATAGATAAAAATATCCATCCAGTTAGGATAAGAAAAACAGTGGTTGGAAATATCTATCTATCTATCTATCTATCTATCTATCTATCTATCTATCTATCTATCCACCCGCTCACCTGCCCACCAACATTCCTCTATCTGTCTATCATTCCTCTACCTATCTATCCATCCATCCATCCATTCATCCATTCCTTCCATTCCATCCATCCATCCATCCATCCATCTATCCATCCACCCACTCACCCACATTCCTGTTTATCATTCCTCTACCTACCGATCTATCCATCCATCCACCCATCCACCTACTCTATCCATCCATCCATCCATCCATCCACCCACTCACCCACATTCCTCTGTTTATCATTCCTCTACCTATCTATCCATCCATCCACCCATCCATCTATCTATCCATCCACCCACTCACCCACATTCCTCTGTTTATCATTCCTCTACCTATCTATCCATCCATCCACCCATCCACCTATGTTATCCATCCATCCATCCATCCACCCACTCATCCATCTACCTACAGTCCTCTATCTGCCTATTATTCCTCTGTCTATCCATCCATTCACCCACCTATATTCCTCTGTCTGTCTGTCTGTCTGTCTATCTATCTACCTATCTATCCATCCATCCATCCATCCACCAACCATCCACCCACCTACAGTACTCTATCTGTCTATCATTCCTGTCTATTCATCTATTCACCCTCCTATATTCCACTATCTGTCTATCATTTATCTGTTCATCTGTCTGTCTGTCCGTCCGCCCACCCACCCATCTACCTACAATCCTCTATCTGTCTATCATTCCTCTATCAATCCATCCATCCACCCACCATTCCTCTGTCTATCATTTATCCATCCAGTTAGAGATTGGAAATTATCTATTGAATGGATCTTCAGTTGGGGATCTGAGAAATGTTAAGATGGCGAGATAATATAGCTACATCTATATATACCTTCAGTGAAGAGACTGGAGAAGTATTGGCTGGGGAGATCTATCCCATCCACCGTATGCATGGAGATATATATCTCATCCATCTCGAGCTGGACCAAGTTAGAACCCGAGTTGCAAAAAGTTAGAACCCAAACAGACCCTAAGCTAGATTTCTAACAAACCGTGCAGGTTAAATCCATTGAAACGAAGCTTCCAAAGCGATTTAATTAAATTCCTGGGAGTTTTTTGGGGGGGAGGGGGATGGGGGGCGGACAAAGAAATCCAACTGCCAGCATCCCAACTGGCTGCATGGACTGGGGGATACTGGGAGCCCCAATCCAAAAAAAAAAAAAAAAAAAAAGGGAGATCTTTGCAGACCGGGGCAGAGAATGGGAACCGAGCCCAAACTCCAGAGCAACGCGAATGAGGAAAGGGGATAAACAAGGCCGTCATCATCACCTTGGGAAGGAAGAGACGGAGAGAGCGTCCCGCCTAAGCTTCCTGCCTCGGTTTCCCCAAAGCCGTTAAGAACGTGGCCTTAATGGGAGGGAGTGGGCCGGCCATTTCGACCCCCCGCCCCCCTGAAAGTCTCTCTCGTGGTCCGGGCGCACAGCGTCCGTCAATGGAATGCGTAGAGGAGAAGGAGGATGGTGCAGATCCCGATGACGGCGCCCAAGATGAAGGTGTCGCGCCGCTTGCGCAGGTTGATCCGCTGGATCAGGCTGTTGACGGCCGGAAAGCGGTCTTTGGGGCAGAGAGTTAAGGTCAAACGACGCCTCCGGAGAGAAGATGACATTGAGGGAAGTCCCTTTACATATAGATAGATAGATAGTAGGGCTGTGCAAAACTATCATTAAGTCGTTAGTTATTTGTTAGACTGAGACCGAGGACACGGCATTCTGGGAAATGTAGTTTGGGAAGGCAGGATAGAAATATCGTAAATTATTATTATTATTGACATGTTGGCGAGAGATTGAGGACTCAGCCTACAAGAAGGGTTGGGAGCTGGTCATGTTCACCTTGGAAAAGAAGAGAGGGAGGAACGACCCAAAGGCATCCTTTCAATTCCTCAAGAAATAACGTGCCGGGTCTTCAAGGGACATCAGCAACATCTTCCAGGGTCAGGCTAGATGGCCTTTGGGTCGCTTCCGAAAGACTGGACTGTTTGTGTTGTTTATGCGAAAGGATACTGGCCAAGGAGTTCATCTTGCTCTGAATGGACTTCATCATCCCTCGCTGGGAGGTCATGTTTTCCTTGGTCGCCATTGCAATGCTAGGATCGAGAAAAAGAGAGAGAGAGAAAGAAAGAAAGAAAGAATGAAAGAGAGAAAGAAAGAGAGAAGTTGTGCCATTAGAACACAAGAATAAGGTATTCCTTTTCCCATTGCATTGTGCGACTTTTAGAATCTAGGGCTTTATTTTGGCTTGTTTTGTTGGCTTGGAGTCATAACAACAATAACAAAACAACGAGCACACAACAACAACGAGCACACAACAAGAACAACAACAACAACAACAACAACAATCAGCCACAAGGAGAGGCAGGTAAGAAATAATAATAATAATAATAATAATAATAATAATAATAGTAATATATTATTATTATTATTATTATTATTATTATTATTATTATTATTATTATAGAATCATAGAATCAAAGAGTTGGAAGAGACCTCACGGGCCATCCAGTCCAACCCCCTGCCAAGAAGCAGGAATATTGCATTCATCATATTATTATTATTATTTTACTGACACAAAACCACAGTATGTCACAGCAAACAAGATCTATATGCTGGATTTCGTATCACAAAATCACAAGTCAAACACTTCCCAAGCGTCTAGGACTGTGTGATGTATTTTCGAATGATGCGCGCAGATCCAAGTCAGGTGGCCTTTTGCAGTTGACCAATTGTGATTTTGTCTATTATTATTATTATTATTATTAGAAACACAGTAAGATTAGTGCACAGCAAACAAGATCACTCTGCTGGCTGTTGTATTGGATCACATGTCAGACCCTTCCCAAGTGTCTAGGGCTGTGTGATGTATCAGCAAATAATAATAATAATAATAATAATAATAATAATAATAATAATAATAACAACATATTATTATTATCATATTATAATATATTATTATAATTATTATTTTTTGTTGTGTCAGGAGCGACTTGAGAAACTGCAAGTCCCTTCTGGTGTGAGAGAATTGGTCGTCTGCAAGGACATTGCCCAGCAGATGATGATGATAATAATAATAATAATAATAATAATAATAATAATTATTATTATTATTATTATTATTATTTCAATGCATCCTGGCCTTGGAGGAAAAAGGAGGATATAAATCAATCCAAAAATGATAATAGCGGACTCTGCGATGCTGACCTTCTTTTGCAATGTTCTGAATGCCATTTAGAAGTTTAGTAGGAAAGCCTATTGAAACGAAGGACTGAGAAGGGTATCGAATCGTGATGGAGGACCTCGAAAATGCCTTGTAGGGGATGTACTTTGTCAGACACGGTTGCACAAAACCATAGATTACAGCAAACCCTATCCAAATCAAGGACTTTGGGGCAAGAATATCCAAAAATTGGTTAGGTTGCATATTACTTTTTTCAAAAGACGGTGGAAAAATTTCATTCGGCGGAAACTAACAGAGGGGTGGTCCAAGGGCCAGAGCCTTAATTATGCCCAAAGTTTGTGCCGTTTGGTAGCAAACGTGGGCAGATGCTCTCCACTGTCTGCCGGGGAATTGGCTTGTTTTAATTGGGAACGCTGTGTTTCCATCCCGGCCCAAAACGTCTCCTCCTGGAGGGACTTCCCCTCCAGGAGAGCTATGCTCCTATTTTTTAAGTGCAATATTATTATTATTATTTTAAATGATGGGAAGAATCCTTCAAGCTAAAAAGCTGTGAACAAAAAGAAATTAAGGGAGAGAGAGCATGAAGGTAAAGGAAAACAAATGTACAGCTTTGAGACTATTACTGTATTTCATCACATAATAGTTGCACCTCCATTTTCTGGGTGCCAAAATTGTATTTTTTGTTTTCCTCAAATAATTGTCACATCCATATTTTCTAGGTGCCGAAAATTGTATTTTTTGTTTTCTTCACATAATAGTCACACCTGCATTTTCTGGGTGCCAAGAATTGTATTGTTTTTCCTCACATAATCGTCACACCCGCATTTTCTGGGTGCCAAAATCTGTATTTTTTGCTTTCTTCACATAATAGTCGGACCCCCATTTTCTGTGTGCCATAATTTGTATTTTTTGTTTTCCTCACACAATAGTCACTAGGCTGATTCTCCCTCCCTCCCTCCTTTCTTTGAAGGCAAGACCGTTTAAAAACTACGCAATGGAGGTCTCTGGAGCTCCACTCTTCTTTCCTCCCTCCTTTCTTCTTTCTCTGAAAACAGTTTAAAAACTATGGAAGCTCCACTCTCCTCTCTCCTCTTTTCAAATTTAAAGCAGTTTAAAAACTATAAAATGAATGTTTCCCAAGCTCCACTCTTCTCTCCTCCCTCCTTCTTTCTCTGGAGGCAAAGCAGTTCAAAAACTACATAATGGATGTCTCTAGAGCTCCACTCTTCTCTCCTCCCTCCTTCCTTCCTTCTCTGAAGGCAAAGCAGTTCAAAAGCTATATAATGGATGTCTCTGGAGCTCCACTCTTCTCTCTTCCCTCCTGTCTTCTTTCTCTGAAGGCAAAGCAGTTCAAAAACTACATAATGGATGTCTCTGGAGCTCCACTCTTTTCTCTTCCCTCCTTTCTTCTTTCTCTGAAGGCAAAGCAGTTCAAAAACTACATAATGGATGTCTCTGGAGCTCCACTCTTCTCTCCTCCCTCCTCCCTTCCTTCTCTGAAGGCAAAGCAGTTCAAAAGCTATATAAGGGATGTCTCTGGAGCTCCACTCTTATCTCCTCCCTCCTTTCTTCTTTCTCTGAAGGCAAAGCAGTTTAAACACTACACAACTGAGGTCTCTCCATCTCCACTCTTCTCTCCTCTCTCCTTGTTATAATTTTATGTGACTTGTTTTATATTTTTGTACTGTTTTGACCTGTTGTATGATATACGTGCACCCTGGAGTCCCGCGTACGCCACCGAGTCCCTTCAAGGAGATGGTGGCGGGATATAAAGATGATGATTGTTGTTTTTATTATTATTATTATTATTATTATTATTATTATTATTATTATTATTATTATTATTATTATTATTCCAAGGCTATAAGGCAGTTTACAAAACCTGGAATGGAATTCTTTGGAGAACGGAGGGAAGATGTGAGAAAAACATCTCATCAACCTGTCAGGATCTTGCTCAGAAGGCAGCTGGCCAAGCGCTAATGTTAAATACATTTCAGGCCCCGGTTCAATGAAAATGACAACAAATGCTTTCTGTTGCATTAAAGGAATGAAATGAGGAAGAAAAAAAAAAAAACAGGAGTGGGGGAATAAAAGAAAACAAAGAGAGGAAGGAAGACACCATTAAGGATGAGCTTGAATGCTGGTTTTTCCGACAGCTACTTAAAAACCTCCCACAAGCCTTTGGGGAATAGGAGGGGGAGAAATCATTTTCTAGAAGCAAAGGCACTCTTTCTGCTCCAGTTTCCTTATCTGTCCGCTCAAAAAACCTTCCTATAGATTTTGGGGGGCCACAAGTCCTGGTAGTCTCTGACCAATTTGGGAATTACGGGAACAGAAACCCTACAAGTTTGAGAAACTGCTCGATGGATATGACGGACAGAGACTTTTGGGATTGTAGATCAGAAAAATTATGAAGACCAGGATTTTTTCTTCCTTTAGGAGATACATGAAACACAGCTACGTTTCGCGGGATGCCGAGATAACGAAAACAGGTTGTTAGGAAAGACAGCACAATAGAGGTACATAGGCAGAGAAGGAATATCTGGCTACGCATTGCTGCAGGAGAAAGCAATACATCCATGACAAATGGGCAATCAGGATGGTTTTTACCCTGGAGGAGATATGGATGCAAATCAGGTGGTAGGACATCCCAGAAACCCCGTTGCAGGACTTTCCTGGACATTGTACAGCTCAAACCTCCAAGCTTTGGTCCTCAAACAAAACAGTCACAAAGGGAGAGGGGAAAGAGAAATGGATGACACCTATCCACAAACTCCACTCCGTTGGTGGTGCTTTCACCAGAGTCAATGGTTTCTTGGCTCACAAGAAATTCAAGCATGAGGCAATCAATCCAAAACTTCATCCGCTATTTAGAGGCTGGCTTGGTTTGTACGGAAAACCCGTTTCCCACCCATGTCAGTTCAATTACCTTTTTTTGACCATCATTGAGATCAAACTTGCCACTCTCTTCATCTCCAATGCATTTCTCTCTCTCCCTCCCTCTCTACTCAACCATCCACCCACGGAGGCAGATCTACCTACCTACTGACCTACAACCCATCCAGCTAGCTATCATCTAGTTATGTCTCCATCCATCCATGGAGATAGATCTAGCAATCATCTATCTATCCATGCATTGCTCTCTCTCCCTCTCTCTCCACCCACCCATCCACCCACGGAGACAGATCTACCTACCTACTACGAATCCATCCAACTATCATCTATTTATGTCTCCATCCATCCATGGAGAGAGATCTAGCAATCATCCATTCATCCATGCATTTCTCTCTTTCTCCCACTCTCTCTCCACCCACCCATCCACCCACGGAGACAGATCTACCTACCTACCTACTACGAATCCATCCAGCTAACTATAATCTATTTATGCCTCCATCCATCCACGGAGAGAGATCTAACAATCATCGTATTTCTCTCTCTCCTTCTCTCTCCACCCACCCATCCCCTCACGGAGACAGATCTACCTAACTACCTACTGACCTATGAACCCATCTAGCTATAATCTATTTATGCCTCCATCCATTCGTGGAGATAGATCTAGCACACATCTATCCATCCATGCATTTCTCTCTCTCCCTCTCTCTCCACCCACCCATCCACCCACAGAGACAGATCTGCCAACCTACCTGCTGACCTACAAACCTATCTAGCTAGCTATCATCCATTTATGCCTCCATCCATCCATCCATCCATCCATGGAGAGAGATCTAGCAATCATCTATCCATCCATGCATTTCTCTCTCCCTCTTTCTCCACCCACCCACCCACCCACCCACCCACCCACGGAGACAGATCTGCCAACCTACCTGCTCACCTACAAACCCATCTAGCTAGCAATCATCTATTTATGCCTCCATCCATGGAGAGAGATCTAACAATCATCTATCCATCCATGCATTTCTCTCTCTCCCTCTTTCTCCACCCACCCATCCACCCACGGGGACAGATCTACCTACCTACCTACTGACCTATGAACCCATCTAGCTAGCTATCATCTATTTATGCCTCCATTCATTCATGAAAATAAATTATCTATCACCTCAATGACATACCTGTAGTATGGAGCTAGAGCTATCCATCTATCTATCTATCCATCCATCCATCCATCCATCCCTGTATTCAGAGCCACCATGTATACATCCATACATAGAGATATCTATCTATCTATCCATCCATGTGTGCAACCATCTATGGAGACATCTTTTTTTTATCTTTCTATCTATTCATACACGTATTCATCTGTTTATCCAGATCCACCTATACATCCATCTATGTAGATCTCTCCCTCTCTCTCTCTATAGATCTATCCATCTGTCTCTCCATCTCCACCATTTATGCATTCATATGTGGACATCTATCTATCTGTCTGCCTATCTATCTATCCATCACCCACCCCTCCACTGAGACAGTTATATCTATCCATCTATCGATTGATCCATGCATAGATATAGATCTCTCCATCTCTCTATCTCTCTATCTATCCAGATTCACCATCTATGTATCCATTCATGATGTCTATCTATCATCTATCATCCATCCATCCACAGAGACAGAGCTATATCTGTCTATCGATCCATACATGTAGATAGATGTATCCATCTCTCTAGCTCTCCAGATCCATCCATTGAGATTTATCAATCATCTCTCCATCCAGAGAAGTTTCACTCTGTGCATTTGACGAAGTGGCACATTTCTGCCTCTCTCTTAGACGTTCCAGAAGTCCCTTTAATAGCCTTTCATCCTAAACCTTTATGTCTGTGAGAAAGGGAAAGAAGATCGAACCTTACGCTTTTACAGGAAGCATCATTATGGTTTAATGCATTTACGAGGCTATAGTCTGGGCGTGAGCCAACTTCGGCCCTCCGGGTGTTTTGGACTTCAACTCCCACAATTCCTAACAGCCTACCGGCTGTTAGGAATTGTGGGAGTTGAAGTCCAAAATACCCGGAGGGCCGAAGTTGGCCAATGCTTGGATTATTGTGCAAAAGATATAGCGAATGGAGACTCTTGGAGCAAGAGGCGACTCAAAACAAAAGGGTTTTGAAGAGGTGGTTCAAAAGGCATGGGATTGGGAGAGGACGTCGATGGGTATACAGAGGAAGGTAAACAACAACAACAACACTCTCATCCCTCTCCCGAAACCACCAGACGCAAGCAATTTGGAGCCAAGAGGGAGATTACCTTGTTCCAACCCTAATGGCTGAAAACCACATCGAGCCTCCGTCAGCCAGAAAAGAGAAAAAATATGCAACCTTGCAAAAGCAAGCGGGCGCAATCTGTCGCGAGGGAGAATGACGGAAGGGTTCATTAAAAGACGGGGCCATTTCGTTCCCTCCGGAGGGGAAGCAATTCCCCAAAGCAGCGGCCGATTAATCATGGTAAACAGGTAAAGCCAGGAAATAGCGACAGGTCCCCTGTCGTCGCAATGAAACCAAGTGTGTGCAATGCTGTGCATGGGAACCGGCCTCCTTGGCTTGACTGCAACTCCTATCGTGCTCTAGGAAGGCATACAGAGGATGGGAGTTGTAGTACAGAGGTGCACTCACCAGAAAGTGGGTGGTAATAACAGTAAATATGTTGAGTCTTACCTTATTGTTTCTTCTATCAGCCGGTCGGAACTGAGAGGGAAACAAAAAAAAGACTCTTAATCATAATAGCATTTACCTATTTCTTTTTACTTGAGATCTAAATAACAATAATAATTATTAGCATCATAATCTCAGTTATTATTATTGTATCTATATAAATAAAAATGTAATGTTCGTTTGTGGGATTAACATAATTCAAAACCACTGGACGAATGTGTGTGTATATATATATATATATCTTATATATATATATATAAATGTAATGTTTGTTTGTGGTATTAACATAACTCAAAAGCCACTGGACGAATTGACACCAAATTTGAACACATTACACGTATCAGGCCAACGTGTGACCAGCACTCATAAAAACACTGAAAAACACAGCAGAAAGGACTTAAAACCCCAGAAAAGCTAAATGACGATACATAAAAAAGGAAGTGGGAGGGAAGGGGAGAAAGAAAGAAAGAGAGTAAGAGGGAAAGAAAGAAGGAAAGAAAGAAGGAAGGAAGCAAAGAGGTAGGGAAGGAAGAAAGGAGAGAAAGAGGAAGGAAAAGGAAAAGGGAGGAAGGAAGGGAAGAGGTAGAGAAGGAAGGAAGGAGAGAAGGAAAGAAAAAAAGGGAAGAAAAGGAAGGAAAGAGGGAGCGAAGGAAAGAAAGAAAGAGAGAAGGAAGGATGGAAGCAAAAAGCGAAGGAAGGAAGGAGAGAAAGGCGAAGGAAAACAAAAAGGGAGGAAGGAAGGAAAGAGGTAGAGAAGGAAGGAAGGAAGGAGAGAAGGAAAGAAAATAAGGGAGGGAAGGAAGGAAAGAGGGAGCGAAGGAAACAGAGAAAGAAAGAAGGAGAGAAAGAGGGAGGGAAGGATGGCCACAGCAACACGTGACAGGTACAGCTAGTCTATATAAATAAAAATGTAATGTTCGTTTGTGGGATTAACAGAACTCAAAAACCATTGGACAGATTGACACCAAATTTGGCCACAAGACGCGTATCAGACCAACAAGTTACCATCACTCATAAAAACACTGAAAGACACAGCGGAAGGAACTTATAAAGCCAAAAATCAAAAATTACATCACAACGCATACACAGAACCACACACACACACACGCGCGCGCGCGCAAACACACATACACGCACAAAACACATATACAGAGACTGGGCCACAGCAATGCGTGGCAGGGGATGGCTAGTCAATAATATTATCGTCATCATCATTATTTTCCCTTGAGATCATTATAATATAAATTATTACCATTATCATCATCATCATTATTTTTCCTTGAGATCTCCTTATTATTGCTATATCTATATGAATAAAAATGGAAACATCCATCTGTGAATGACCTCAAATCTCCCAAAATACTTCACCGATTGCTTCGAAATTTGGAAAGAATGTAGCACTCGAACAGGTGAATGTTTTTATGCATTCACATACCTACTATTATGTAGACGTTGAACTAAAAATCTAAAACTCTTTCTTAAAACATGAAGAAATTCATTCAAATCCTTCCCACTGATTATCAACAAAAAATAATAATAATGTCCCCACCATATTGATCAATTATTGCAAGCCCTAAATATACAATTGTCTTTCGCTCACACGATATGGATTACCGATATCAAAGTTAAGAGGACGCTGTACTGACGGCGGTATCGACTGCCCCGTGGATGATAGTGCATTCGGTGCTTTGCTGCCAAATCCCATAACCATGTTTTAAAATAAATGTTCTGAAGAGAGTTGTGTTAAAAAGGGGGGGGGGCAAGATGGAGCCTGCAGATTGTAGTTTGCCCATCTTTGATGTACAAGTCACGCACGGAATTAAACTGAATAGTGCATATTAGTCAAATAATAAAATAATTGTTGCCTTCGACAACAAAAACATTCATAGAATCAAAGAGTTGGAAGAGACCTCATGGGCCATCCAGTCCAACCCCCTGCCAAGAAGCAGGAATATTGCATTCAAATCACCCCTGACAGATGGCCATCCAGCCTGTGTTTAAAAGCTTCCAAAGAAGGAGCCTCCACCACACTCCAGGGCAGAGAGTTCCATTGCTGAACGGCTCTCACAGTCAGGAAGTTCTTCCTCATGTTCAGATGGAATCTCCTCTCTTGTAGTTTGAAGCCATTGTTCCGCGTCCTAGTCTCCAGGGAAGCAGAAAACAAGCTTGCTCCCTCCTCCCTGTGGCTTCCTCTCACATATTTATACATGGCTATTATATCCCCTCTCAGCCTTCTCTTCTTCAGGCTAAACATGCCCAGCTCCTTAAGCCGCTCCTCATAGGGCTTGTTCTCCAGACCCTTGATCATTTTAGTCGCTCTCCTCTGGACACATTCCAGCTTGTCAATATCTCTCTCGAATTGTGGTGCCCAGAATTGGACACAATATTCCAGGTAAATGTGGTCTAACCAAGCAGAATAGAGGGGTAGCATTACTTCCCTAGATCTAGACACTATGCTCCTATTGATGCAGGCCAAAATCCCTTGGCTTTTTTTGCTGCCACATCACATTGTTGGCTCATGTTTAACTTGTTGTCCACGAGGACTCCAAGATCTTTTTCACACGTACTGCTCTCGAGCCAGGCATTGTCCCCATTCTGTATCTTTGCATTTCATTTTTTCTGCCAAAGTGGAGTATCTTGCATTTGTCACTGTTGAACTTCATCTTGTTAGTTTTGGCCCATCTCTCTAATCTGTCAAGATCGTTTTGAATTCTGCTCCTGTCCTCTGGACTATTGGCTATCCCTCCCAATTTGGTGTCGTCTGCAAACTTGATGATCATGCCTTCTAGCCCTTCATCTAAGTAATTAATAAAGATGTTGAACAGGACCGGGCCCAGGACGGAACCTGCGGCACTCCACTCGTCACTTCTTTCCAGGATGAAGAGGAAGCATTGGTGAGCACCTCTGTGTTCGTCCATTTAACCAATTACAGATCCACCTCACCGTAGTTTTGCCTAGCCCACATTGGACTAGTTTCCTTGCCAGAAGGTCATGGGGGACCTTGTCGAAGAAGGCCTTACTGAAATCCAGGTACGCTACATCCACGGCATTCCCCGCATCTACCCAGCTTGTAGCTCTATCGAAGAAAGAGATCAGATTAGTCTGGCATGACTTGTTTTTGATAAATCCATGTTGACTATTAGCGATGACTGCATTTGTTTCTCAGTGTTTGCAGACCGCTTCCTTAACAATCTTTTCCAGAATCTTGCCCGGTATCGACGTGAGGCTGACCGGACGGTAGTTGTTTGGGTCATCCTTTTTTCCCTTCTTGAAGATTGGGACCACATTGGCCCTCCTCCAATCTGCTGGAACTTCTCCCGTTCTCCAAGAACTCTCAAAGATGGTTGCCAATGGTTCCGAAATGACTTCCGCTAGTTCCTTCAATACTCTGGGGTGTAGTTGATCTGGCCCTGGGGACTTGAACTCATTAAGAGCGGCCAGGTATTCCTGGACGACTTCTTTCCCAATTTGGGGTTGGATGTCCTCCAATCCCTCATCCACTCCATCTTGCTGAGGTTGAAGACTCTCTTTTCGTGAGAAGACCGAGGCAAAGAAGGCATTAAGTAGTTCTGCCTTTTCCCTATCCCCTGTCAGCATTGCCCCATCTTCTCCGAAGAGGTCCTATCGCCTCCTTGTTTTTCCTTTTTCTACTGACATAAGAATAGAAGCCCTTTTTATTGTTTTTAATGTCCCTGGCAAGTCTGAGCTCGTTTTTTGCTTTAGCCTTGCGGACCTTTTCCCTACAGGTGTTGGCTATTTGTCTGAATTCTTCTTTGGTGATTTCTCCCTTTTTCCACTTCTTTTTTCCATTATTTTTCCTTTGTTGTAGGTCACTTCCAGCATTGAGATACACACACAAACACACACACACACACACACACATACATTTCCCTATCATTCCTCCATCTATCCATCCATCCATCCATCCATCTACATTCTTCTACCTGTCTATCATCTATCCATCCATCCATCCATCCATCCATCCATCCATCCATCCTTCCTTCCTTCCATCCATCTACATTCTTCTATCTGTCTATCATCTATCTATCTATCTATCTATCTATCTATCTATCCATCCATCCATCCATCCATCCACCCAGGTATGTGGGAAAGAAAAGGAAGAGAAGAAAAAAGGAAGGAAATAGAGGGAAGGAAGAGAAGGAAGGAAGGAAGGTAGGAAACAGAGAGAAAGGGAGAAGGAAGGAAAGAAGATGGCTAGGAAAGAGAAAGAAAAGGAAGAGAAGGGAGAAAGAAAAGAGGGTAGGAAAGAGGGAAAGAAGAGAAGAAAGACAGAAAGAAAGATAGATAGGAAGAGGGAATGAAGAAAGAAAGAAAGAAAGAAAGAAAGAAAGAAAGAAAGAAGGAAAGGAAAGAAGGAAGGCAGATAGGAACAGAGAGGGAAGAGCAGGAAAGAGAGAAGAAAGGAAGTAAACAGAGAAGGAAGGAAAGGGGAGGAAGGGAGAAAGAAAGGAAGGAAACAGAGAAGGAAGAAATGGAAGGAAGGGAGAAAGAAATGAAGGAAACAGAAAGGAAGAAATGAAAGGAAGATAGATTGCCAGGGAAAAGAGAGGGAAGGAAGGAAGAAAGAAAGGAAGGAAACAGAGAAGGAAGGAAGGGAAGGAAGGGAGAAAGAAAGGAAACAGAAAGGAAATGAAACGAAGATAGATTGCCAGGAAAAAGAGAGGGAAGGGAGAAAGGAAGGAAGGAAACAGAGAAGGAAGAAAGGGAAGGAAAGGAGAAAGAAAGGAAACAGAAAGAAAATGAAAGGAAGACAGATTGCCAGGAAAAAGAGAGGGAAGGAAGGGAGAAAGAAAGGAAGGAAACAGAGAAGGAAGGAAGGGAAGGAAAGGAGAAAGAAAGGTAGGAAACAGAAAGGAAGAGATGAAAGGAAGATAGATTGCCAAGAAAAAGAGAGGGGAGGACGGGAGAAAGAAAAGAAGGAAACAGAGAAGGAAGGAAGAGAGAAAGAAAGGTAGGTAGGAAACAGAAAGGGAAATAATCCAGTGGTCTGAACCAATACTATTGTTGCATCC